TTTGGTGGATAATAAATTAGTTCTGCTTAGGAGTTAGGATGTTGCAATTGATTTTTAGCATTAAAATGAATGAGATTTAGCTCAAAGTGTGATGTGTTCATGATTTATTCACTGCTAAGGATTTATAATGGTGTACTACAAATGCCATCATAGCTTGATGATCCCAGAGTGCTTATGGAAATTGTACTATTGAATTATAAATCTTCATTTTTTTTTTTTAAAATTACCTCGATGTACTGATATTGTTAATAACATTGTTGAAGTTAATGTTGCCGACAGTTGAGTCTTATTCTCCGAAAGAAAATGAATATGTTAATTTATATATCATGATTGGTTGAAGTGTTATGTTTTATAAAGTTGAATTTCGTGAAAGTATAGGGAGGATGAGAGTGTCCATTGCAAATGGAGCTGGAAGAGTCATTGTTGACAATTCTCCTGGCATAGTGCTAATAATGAACTAGATCAAAATGACTCAATTAAATTCTAGTGCTTCTTCTAATAGTGAAGTTTCTAGAAAAGAAAATATATCAAACGACGCAATGCACCTTGGGTCGCTACGGAAACGGCCTCCTTGTATAATTACAAGGGATTATACAAGGGTAAGGTCTGCGTACAACTGACCCCCTAGACCCCAACCAGTTGGGAATATACTGGGTATGTTGTTGTTGTTGTTGTATAGGGAGGATGAGAAGTTTTATACTGGACGTAACCTTTCATCTTTTGACCTATTTTCAGACTGATGATGTGCTTCCAGGTCTAGAAGAGCAGGGTGTTCGGCAGTTGTATCCAAAAGGGCCAAATATCGGTACAGTATACAGATGCTCATATTGTATTTGCTTTGCTTCTTTATGTGTGAACTGGAACTGGCATCACAAGTCACAGTCAATTAGATGCTAATTATTCTGTCATTTTGTTTGCTCACTACAGCTTTTCTATGATATATCATTGTATACCATATTGAGATGTTTTAGTTAGACTCCCAAATTTATAATCCTAAATTTTCATGACTGTAGTCAAATTTGTATTACATGTCAAAAGAAGTGACAAATTAACTAAAAGATCTTGGAATTTTGTTCAAGAAAATAGAAATTGATGCACCTACTTATGTTATAAATAAACAAATAAAAATGGAAAAGATTATCCTCGAGTTTTGGGGTCCGTACACCAAAAGCTAAGCTAACTTGGGAAATTATAAATCAGCTAGTTATGTGCCCGACTATTAGTTGACTTGACAATGTTTGTTGACATCATAAGATATTTCACGATTGCAGCCCTCTTTTCTTCAAAATTGCAAATAGCCTCAGCTTTTTGTTCCCGTTTCTGTTATCTACGAAAAATAACGGGTGTAAATATAAAATGTAAACTCAAAAGTTGGGTTTCTGTAATACATTGTGGTTTTTTATTGACTAGCTTATTGAATATGCAGTTGTGCTTTGTAGTTTACTTTACTTGAACTGCATCACAACTTAAAGCGCAGCCTGTGGGTACTAGCTGTTTACCAGAGTTTTTGCTACATAAGTTTGGGCTTTATTGTTCAATCTCCAAATGTTCGGACTAAATGAAGTATCACAATGACCAAGATTAGCCCCAAATGATTACATTCCCAGCACCAAACTACTGAATCTTTCACACAGTTCACGACTGTGATTTTGGGAACGGGAGAGGGGAAGGGAAAATGAAAAATTGTAGAAGTTAAGCACATGAAATTTTTATCATTCATTGAAACCGGACCGTTACCTGAACCTATACTTATGGATTCAGAATAATAGGCTCTAATGTCTTGTGTCTTCTGATGTGATGGTGTTTCTTTCTAAACCTGTTAATGTTGGTTCATTTTCTTACTGCCATTGAATTGGTGCTGCTCCAGTTGCCCAATTCTGCTTTATATACACTTGAAGATTGGGGGAAGTACATGATCAAAAATGTGAATTTGAGAAAACCATAACGTTTCACAGAGAAATTTACTCTGGAATGTGATTATTGGCCTTTTTCTCTCTCATTTAGATTTCAAGAAGGAATTGAGATCACTCAACAGAGAATTGCAACTGCATTTTTTGGAACTTGCTGACGTCCTTGTAGAGCGACCATCTCAATATGCCAGACGAGTGGAAGAAATTTCTCTTATTTTCAAGAACATACATCACCTGCTCAATTCTATTCGTCCTCACCAGGTG